TTTTAGTAAAAAATAAAATTAAAAAATAGCAAAAATGTTATAATATATACACGTACAATCATCGCATTAAGAGAGTGATATCCCTTCCGATTGAAGTATCCTTCTTCAATATCATTGCGTGGTGGTGTAATAGCTATAAATGTCCCGTCTATAACTCCTACTACTCCAGGAAATTCAAATTTCTCTAAAAATCTGCAATATTTTCAAATATTTATTGAATCTTATCAGTCAGTAAATATCAACTATTACATTTTCAATGTATTAGTTAATAATTAATTGTGGACGTCCACATCAAAATGGCCCATTTGAGCACTATTAAAATTACATATATAAATAAATTTTACACAAAACTTAAAAACTTTTGATAAGCCTTAGGTCACTTTATGTGTAGAAATCGATGAGTTAAAGCCTTTTTAATTTATTGACTGCCAAACACCTGATTTCGAAAAAAACTTTTTAAACTTTTTCCCCTCCTTTTTTAAAATACGGGACATTTGACAAAATGGGCCCTTTTATAAAAATGCTATTTTTAATTAATATACCGAGTTTTTCATTAAGTTAAAGAGTAAATATTACTTAACTGACTTATTTGAAGAAAAAGAATAGAAACTAAACATTAAATACTTTTTAAATGTCTCCATTTTGAATAATAATAGATTAATTGATAAGTAAGGTACAGCGACTTTTTTATGCCTTAAAATTTTTTCATATTTAAAAAAAATATTTGTTCTATCTGTGGGCGTCTGCGTGAAAAGGTCTCACTTTGGCACTATTAGACTTATATATAGGCGTATTCTTGGCAAAATTTGAAAAATTTTAAGCGGTTTCAGAACCCTCTAAGTGAAAAAACTGTAGAGTTAAATTATTTCAAAGTTAATAATGCCTAAAACCACATTTTGAAAAAAACAAAATTAAAGATTGAAGTAAGAATACCTCGGCTATTTCTGCAAGTTATTCAGGTTATATATTTTGTTTGAGCTAGAATAATTTCTCTGATGACAAAGCAATAGGTTTAAAATTTTTTTGTGCTCATTGTTTGGAAATGATGATAAACCGACAAAGTGGAACCTTTTATTTAAAAAAAAACAATGAAATAAAATATTTAAATTAACAAGAAAACTATGTCATGTTCATTTTTCGACTTGTTAGACCCTGTAGACTGATTTAAAAAAGTAAAAATATTCCAGATTTTTCATCAAATTTAGTAACTTAAGATTTCATTGAAAAGTAGAACCGACAAAGTGGGACCTTCTCATACGAACGTCCGCATCTATTTAATTAAATCCACTAGATGTGTGAATGTCAGAATATATTTTTATCCAGAAGCACAACAAATGTTACATGAAACTGTCAGAAATCGCAATTTTCCAAAGGAATGACAAAATGGGCTCTTTTTTTAAAAAGAAACAATTAAATTAAACATTTAATTAAAAATAAATTAATTAAGCCTGCAGAATTCGACGTGTGAAACCCTCTAGTTTAAAAAAATAAGAAATAATAAAGATGTTTCACCAATAAATTGCGATTATCTCGAAAACATGAACTGACAAAATTATACGTTTTCATGTGAATGTCCACCAAATATTTAATTATTATATTGCAATTAGGATATCCATAGGATCTCCCAGGGATATCCGTTGATGTTCTATGGATATCCTAAAGATATTCTAATTTCTGGATACGACTAGGACGTCCGTCGGATGTCCTAGAATATACTTTGATGTTAGGGTTCCCATCCAAGATTATTAAAATTGAATGAAAATTTTACTGTAAAGTTATTTAAATTATTTCTGTTTTAACTAAGGATTTTAAATCATACAAAAAAATATTTAAATAATATCAAACCTTTTATTTACTTTAAAGTTGCAGTAAATTGTTTTCATTGATAATAAACTTATTTACCTATTTCTAACTACTTCCATTTCTTCACGAGTAGATGGAAATGCAATCCATCTGGGCATTATTTCTTGCATTGCATTAATGGTATTGTGAATCGAGTGACTTATTGATGATTGAATTCTGTACTTTTTTAAATTAATGATTTGATTTAGAGGTGTACAAACTACAAACATGAATTGTTTTATTCGAATATAGAAATATCAAATTCGACTCCAAGAAAAAATTCGATTTAAATTATAAAGATATGTCAAAAATTTTGAATTGTTTAATTCAATTTTGCATAGCTCTCGAAAAAAGGTTGAATTTTTAATCAATTTTTTTTTGTGTTCAATTCTGAGTGAATTGAATATTGTGAAATTTGGTGTTGTGCGCGATAATTTGAATTTACGCATCAAGTTAACACGTGAGGGCGCTAACATGTCACGGCGTCGTCGTTCCGCGCATCTCTTTAAATTTTAGTACTCACCAGATATCTCTAGAGGTTAGATCTCATCTATCTCAAGGCATTAATCTGTTCATTTTCTAAGTTAATAATCACTTAACTTTAGTTTATTTATCAAGCTCAATTTTATAACAAGGTATTTTATCACTCGGGTTGTCTCTCACACAATTATCGGTCGCGAAATCAAAGGTTAATCTCACGTGCGTCGAAAACGTGCTCAGACCGGCATTGCCGCCAGCTGAGAAAACCAAGACAATTCTAGAAACTCTAAGGAAATTCTCACCTTCTTAAGTGTAAATATTGTGTGTTCGCTGATCAGCAATAAAGTGTTGTTTTTTTTGTGTAAACTTTCCGAGGTTTTATTTCACTGTGAATTTTTGATAACAGACCTATTTCCTCACCAGTAAGGTTTTGCTCCCTCTCAAACATTTTTTGGTCCTTCGAGCCGGATGGCCTGTGAAAAAAGTGCATAGTGAAATTTCGAAGTGTTTGCCACAACGACATTTTCAAGGAAAGTGCTCAGTGAACAATCAACGAAGGAATCATTCTCGTGGCGTCTCAGCGTTGCACGCCTCAAGGATTCTCTCAGTTCCCGCCATCTTGGACTCTCTCTCCCTACCAGTGGTGCGCGCTCTCTCTTTCTCATTGGGAAGTGATCTCTCTCTCAACACGTGGTGCGCGCTCTCTCTCTCTCTCATTGGAAACGAGTTCTCTCCTGTGTGCGCGCTCCCACTCTCACGGTTCCCCTCCTCTCGCAACGTCACAGTGCCGCGCTACAAGGATCCGCTCACCAATCTTCAGTGAGCGCCATATTGCTTCTCTCCCCTCTGCTCGGCGGCTACAGCTGACGACCGGTGCACGTTACAGCTGTGCTCACGCATCGAGGCTTCACGCACCCTTTCTCTCTCGCTCTCGTTGCGCGTCGCACTATTGCTTACACACCACTCAACTCCATTTGGTCTCGTTTTCCCTCGTTCTTTCAAATCTCTAAATCATGTCAAATAACGAGAAAAATTCAATTGAGGAATTCTTTGATGGCATGGAAAACCCCGACAAGGAAAAAACCGACAAGGATAATCTCACCAAGGACGAATCAAAAAAGGAAAAGTCACCTGAATCAATCTCCAAGGTGCATCTTGAACCTAAGATCCTTCTCAAGGTCCCTTCTGATCACGTGTCACGTGTCAGCTCAAAGGTAACAGATGACGATCAATCAAAAATCGATTCTGCTCGCAAACCATCATCCAAGGTAGAACTCAAGGTATCAACTCAGTTCACAAGGCTCAAAATCATGGAAAATACGTTCGCAGATTTACAACGAGGACTTTTTGTGGACAATGCGGATTTTTTGGAACTAAGGATTCAGATTCTCGAGAAGAATTATGAGGAGTTCTGCGAGATTCATGATGAACTCATCACCAGTAGTTCGGCCAAATTTCTTAAACACCCTTATGTACAGGAGGATGTTTTCGGACAATTTGTTGAAGCTTACACCAAGGCAAGGGACGCGATGCTGTACCACGTGTGCAAGCTTCGAAAATCGGAACCTCCCGCTCTCACCCACTCACCCTCATCATCGGAAGTGCGATCTTCAGGGAAGCTCCCCAAAATTCCTCTTCCAACTTTTTCGGGCGATTACTCAGCTTGGAATAGCTACAAGGATCTCTTCTCTTCTTTGGTCACAAATGACCCAAAGATATCAACTGTGGAGAAGATGCAATACCTTAAGGTTAGTCTTACTGGTGAAGCGGCTCAACTCATCTCAAATCTCTCAGTTTCCAATGACAGTTTCGAATCTGCCTGGAACATTGTCGTTTCTCGGTACGACAACAAAAGGTTACTCATCACTCGACACATGGAACAGCTCTTCTCAACCACTATCATCCCCCCAAAGTCCGCGCAAGGTTTAAACACTCTCTTGTCCTCAACTACGGAAGCGTTAAACGCCCTCTCAACTCTCGGTTTGCCAGTGGACCAATGGGACCAAGTTTTGGTGCATCACATCTCAAAACGGCTCGACACTCACACTCGAGAAGGTTGGGAGATCAAACTCGGATCAAGGCTGGATCCCCCCACCTACACTCAACTCAAGGATTTCCTCACTGGTCGAGCTCGTGCTCTTGAGAGTATCTCCAGCTATTCTCAACCAACAAAGAACCAAGCATCAACATCAGGCAAATCTCAAGGTAACTCATCATCTCAAAGGGCATTCGCTGGATCCACTCAATCCCCAAGCCAACAAGGTTCATCATCATCATGCTCAATGTGCGGTAAATCTCATTTCGTGGTCAGATGTGAGAAATTCCGAGATCTGAAGCCTACCGAAAGAAGGCAATTTGTCATCAAGGAACGCCTTTGTTTCAACTGCTTGGGACCCCACAGTGCTAGTGCGTGTAGGAGTGAAAAAAGGTGTCAAGAGTGTGAGGGTAAACATCACACCATGATCCATCAATCCACTGCACCCAAGATCAACAAGGATACTAATCAACCATCAAAGGACAAGGATCAAGATCAAGGAACAAGTACATCAAACAGCTCCAAGGTCAATTGACGTGGGACGCAGCTCGACGGCGAAGGATTTCACTCAAGGCCAGTGGTTCTCCTCGCCACTGCACGTGCTCTTCTCATCACTCAACAAGGTACTCCTCATCCAGTTCGTATGCTCATTGATTCCGGATCTGAACTCTCTTTCATTTCGGAATCAACGGTATCTCATCTCAATCTAACAAGGTATCACTCAAACATCTCAATCATCGGCATTGGAGCAACAAATTCTGGTAACACTCGAGGAGTTGTTTCAATCACTCTCAAATCAATCCATTCCTCAAAATCAATTTCTCTCCACGCATACGTTCTTTCAAAATTGTCGTCAACGCTTCCTACCACCACTCTTCCATCTCTCAAATGGTCTCATCTTCAAAACATCCCTCTTGCCGATCCCGATTACATCATTCCAATGAAAGTTGATCTCATCATTGGAGCGGACGTGTATGCTCAAATCATTCAACCGGACATCATCAAGGGACCTTCCTCAACACCCATGGCTCAACTTACCATCTTTGGTTGGGTAATTCTGGGACCAACCGATGGCAATTCAATCAAGGAACATTCATCTCATCATCTGATTGTGGATCAGCAACTGGATGATCTTCAAGATCTTCTCACTAAATTCTGGACTCAAGAAGAAGTACCTACCAAGGAAAAGGATCAACTCACAACTCAAGAATTGGAATGCGAGGAGCATTTCAAGGCCACTTACTCAAGGGACTCCAAGGGCAAATACATCATTCGACTTCCAATCTCATCATCACCGAGTCAACTTGGCGACTCATTCTTCAAGGCTCAACGGTGTCTTCATCGGCTCTTCAAACGATTTTCAACTCAAGGACTTCTTAAGGATCGCTACTTTGCATTTCTTACGGAATATGAAGCTGATGGACACATGGTCAAGGCTCCTCCAAGGGATAGTAGCCTTACAAACTATTATCTACCTCATCACGGAATCCTCAGGGAGCAAAGTACCACAACAAAATTAAGGGTTGTTTTCAATGGTTCAAGCCCTTCCACATCCGGTGCCTCTCTCAACTCAATACTTCACACTGGTGCAAAACTTCAAAAGGACATCTCCGACATTTTACTCTGGGTAAGAAGATTTCGATACATCTTTTCTACGAACATCACCAAGATGTTCAGACAAATCAAGGTACATCCGGACGATTGGGATCTACAACGAATCATCTGGGTGGATTCAAACAACAAGGAAATCTCTTACCAACTCACCACGGTCACCTACGGAACAAAATCTGCACCATTCTTGGCGGTAAGGGTACTTTTACAACTCATTCAAGACGAAGGTTACAGGTTTCCTCTGGCTGTGCCCGCACTTCTCAATGGTCGATACATGGACGACATCTACGGTGGTTCTGATGAGGTGTCAGAACTCAAGGACATAGCCAAGGATCTCATCGATCTTCTCAACTCTGGCGGATTCCCTCTAGCTAAATGGCAAAGCAATCACCCCGATTTCTTCGACGCTGTAACAAGGAAAGGCGACTTGAATTCCCACTTAATCGATCACACTCAAACCAAGGTTCTCGGTCTCTCATGGTGTCCAAGGTCAGATGAATTCAAGTTCTCATTTGAGCCAACATCTCTCCCAGGTCAAGGAATATCCAAAAGGTCTATCTTATCCGAGGTATCTCAATTGTTTGATCCCCTAGGATTTCTTTCTCCCGTCATCATCCGAGCCAAAATGTTGCTGCAGGAACTGTGGCTTGAGAAATTGGGTTGGGACGACCCTTTATCTGAGAAACTATCTTCAAGGTGGATCAAATTCAAGGAAGAGCTAGCTCAACTCCCCGCGATCTCAATCCCTCGATGGCTCAATCTCACATCAACCTCAACTACGGAAATTCATGGATTCTCGGACGCATCACAACTCGCAATGGCAGCTGTTGTTTTTCTCAAAACCTCGGAACCAAACCAAGAATCAAAAGTTACATTTGTTTGTGCCAAAACCAAGGTTGCTCCCCTCAAACGTCTAACCATTCCAAGGTTGGAACTCTCGGCTGCTCAACTCTTGGCACGACTTGTGAACTACGTTCAACGGACCCTGGAATTATGTCAAGTTCCAGTATTCCTGTGGACAGACTCATCGGTAGCCCTCACTTGGATCAACAGCCACCCCTCTCGTTGGAAGGAATTTGTACACAACAGGGTATCTTCGATCCATGACCTCGTCCCTCAAGGTCAATGGAGATTCATCAAAGGAAAAGAAAATCCTGCTGACTGTGCATCAAGGGGCCTATCAATTCAACAACTCTCTCAACATCACTTCTGGTGGAATGGTCCACCATGGCTCAAGGACATCAAGGAAAACTGGCCCTCATCAACCTCAAGGTCGGATTCATCAGCTCAAGTCGAAGAAAGACCAGGATTAACATTTACTGTTACCACCTCTCACCCCCAATTGTGGGATCTGATTCATCAATACTCAGATCTGCACTCATTGTTAAAAATCACCTCAATTTGCCTCAGATTTCTCGCTATTCTCAAAAGGATTTCCAACTCTTCTCTGGCCAACCCAATCGGACTCAAGGATCTCGATCTTGCAAGGACATTCTGGATCAAGAATATTCAAGTGGCCTACTTCTCAGCAGACATCAAGGATCTCAATCGAGGCACAAAATTCTCAAGGTCTCATCCGCTTTCCAAACTCAATCCATTCATCGATCATCAAGGTATTCTCAGAGTCGGAGGTCGACTCAAACACTCAAGTTTGGATCACGAAAGCAAACATCCTGCTATTCTACCCAAGGATTCTCCCCTCACTCGACTTCTGATAGCGGATGCTCATTCAAGGACTCTTCACGGAGGAACTCAACTCACCTTGACTCATCTAAGGAATTCCTACTGGATCATCGGAGGAAGACAACCAGTAAGGTCATTCATTCTCAAGTGCATTCCTTGTGCTCGACAAAGAGGAATTCGTGCTCAACAACTCATGGGTCAACTACCTTTGGAAAGAATCACCCCTTCAAGGCCATTTCTCACTTCTGGGGTTGACTACGCCGGTCCAATCACCCTCAAATCCTGGACAGGTCGTGGAGCTAAAACGAAAAAGGGATGGATTTGTCTCTTTGTGTGCTTCTCATCATCGGCTCTGCATCTCGAGGTAGTGACGGATTATTCCACCAACGGATTTCTCGCAGCCTACCGCCGATTTGTCTCAAGGAGAGGTATTTGTCAAACACTCTACAGTGATTGTGGTACCAACTTCATCGGCGCGGACACTACTCTCAAGCAACTCTTCAAGGACGGATCTCAAGAAGCCAAGGAACTCTCTCAACTACTGATCAAGGACGGCACCTCCTGGAAATTCAACCCTCCAGCAGCTCCACACATGGGTGGAAAATGGGAAGCTGCCGTGAAATCAATCAAGTATCATCTCAGAAGGACGATCGGCGAGACGATTTTGACGTACGAGGAATTTACGACTCTTCTTACGCAAATCGAAGCGGTTCTCAACTCCCGACCATTGGAACCTCTTACAGAGGACCCTGACGACTTGTCAGTTCTCACACCAGGACATTTTCTCATCGGGGAACCACTCACATCAATACCGGAACCATCCCTCTTGGACCTGAAAACTTCAAGGTTAACAAGGTGGAAATTGATTCAACAACAAGCTCAATTTTTCTGGGCGAAGTGGTCCACCTGTTATCTTCAACAACAACTCGCTATCTCCAAGTGGCATCATCCAACACATCAAATCAAGGTTGGTTCTCTAGTTCTCCTCACTGACGAAAGGTTCCCTCCCTCAAAATGGCCTTTAGCTAGGGTCACTGCATTATACCCTGGCAAGGACGGTCTCACCAGAGTCGTTTCAATTAAAACTGCAACGACACATCTCAAACGACCAATCACCAAGTTGGCTGTGCTCCCTATCTCGACGGAAGAAGCTCTCAAGGACATAACTCAACCTAAATGGATCGTCAACTCCGTTGCCGATGGGGGGAGTATGTTCAATTCTGAGTGAATTGAATATTGTGAAATTTGGTGTTGTGCGCGATAATTTGAATGTACGCATCAAGTTAACACGCGAGGGCGCTAACATGTCACGGCGTCGTCGTTCCGCGCATCTCTTTAAATTTTAGTACTCACCAGATATCTCTAGAGGTTAGATCTCATCTATCTCAAGGCATTAATCTGTTCATTTTCTAAGTTAATAATCACTTAACTTTAGTTTATTTATCAAGCTCAATTTTATAACAAGGTATTTTATCACTCGGGTTGTCTCTCACACAATTATCGGTCGCGAAATCAAAGGTTAATCTCACGTGCGTCGAAAACGTGCTCAGACCGGCATTGCCGCCAGCTGAGAAAACCAAGACAATTCTAGAAACTCTAAGGAAATTCTCACCTTCTTAAGTGTAAATATTGTGTGTTCGCTGATCAGCAATAAAGTGTTGTTTTTTTTGTGTAAACTTTCCGAGGTTTTATTTCACTGTGAATTTTTGATAACAGACCTATTTCCTCACCAGTAAGGTTTTGCTCCCTCTCAAACATTTTGAATTTTCGAATTTTTTTTTTTGAATATTTTTTTTCGAATATTCGAACCTTTGTGGAAATAATTTCAATATATTTTCAAAATTGTTCCTAAATAAAATATATTTTTAAACCTGCAAATGAATTGGAATTACACTTATTCTTTGTCCTTCTGGCATAAATGGTCTTAACTCTTTAACCAAATCACGAACTGCAATTCTCGATAAACTAAATATAGAAATAATTAGAATAATATTTCAGTTTCAAATATAGATAACAATTTAAATAGAAGTACACATTTATTTATTTAAAAGGAGACATAAAAAATACAATAAAAAACAACATGTAAAAATTATCAAGGTTATATTAATTAATGAATTAATTAAACAATTATTATAGCAACAAAACTTTGTAATTTAATTTTTTTACCGGTATACATTTCGAAATTCATTTTCTGGAATTTCAAATTGATTACTTTCGTCTCGTAATCTTCTTCGAAGGAGTTTTAAATTACGTTTTTCCCTTTCGTTTTGACGTTCCATTTCTCGAAGTAAAATAATATATTCCATTTTTTTTAATATCAGTTGATACTTTTCCTTGATATTTTAAATAAAAATTGACGTGATGACACAAAAAAAATGAAACTTAAAATATCTGAATTAAAAAAAAATGTTTTAGCTCAAATTCTTTAAATTAAAAACAGTCGTTTGTAACGAACAATGTGAAGTTATAAATATGCAATTCAAATATCAGCAATTGTTTTTGGGATATAATGACAGTTCTCGTAATCATTGTCTTCTGAATCAATAAAACATATTAAGTGCGTATTATAATTAAATATAAAATTCATTTTTCATTTTTATATTTGGAAATAGAATATCTACAACAATTAATTCATTTAACATTTTAGTTCATCTACATTTTCAATAAAAGAAATGTCACGCGATATGTCGAATTTGCAACGTGAAATTATGCTGCGATTTATGGCCAAAAATCGGATTTTTGCATTTAGTGAAAAGGGAAAAATCAGTGTTTCAAATCAGGTACATTCAGAAAAACATTAAAAAATTTCATTTAGGAATAAAAAATTATAATTAACAAATCTTACACAAAAAAACATATTATTCAATTTAAAAAAATTAACTTACACTTTTCTAAACATTTTTTTTGAAAAAAAATATTATTTATCTATTGAACTTATTTTATAAGATTAATTAATTAGATAATTAAAAGATAATTAAAAGATTAATTAAAAGATTAATTTTATAAGATTAATGTTTTAAATAATTACATTTAATTTTTGTATCTTGTCTTAAATATAAAATTTATGAGAGTGTTCTAAAAGATAATTTTTGTCTTAATTCTAAACAATTTTGCAATAAGAAAATTTCCAAATAAAAAAATATGAACAAATGTTTTTAAGCGAATTAAAAGTTTTTATTTTTATTATTCCTATTTATATATGTGCAAAAACTTAAATAACTATTTTTTCATAAAATATTTTATACGATATTAAAGTTACGCTTAATATAGTTGACAATAGTACTTTTTAAGTTTATTATAAAAAACATTAAAATTGCGTTCTCATAATTATTCAATTACTTTCTTTAAAACTATTAATTTTGCACAATGAAGTTAGTAAAACATGTAGGTAAATATCATATTCAAAAAATAAAAAGCTCTATTTAAAATTTGCTTTTAGTTGATACTTCTATTAGCTATACAGGAAAAGAAAAACATGAACAAATTTATTAGCCTTTTTTGCGATAAATTACAATTATTAATATAAATGTAAAATCAGCTCTTACAATATAATTAATTTAAATTAAAAATGTTAAACATAATAATATAATAGATTTTTTTAATTTGCATTAAAATATTAATAATTTATTAAAATTTAAAAAGTAACTAATTTTTTTATATAGAAGAAATTGTGGCACGTTTTAACCACATTGTTAAATATGGATATGAAGGGACAAATCAATACCTCAGAATCATGGATGAAGGTAATATTTTGTTTCTTTTACTGCTAAAATTATACCAGTAGGAAAATTTTTTAATATTTTATCAAAAATAATTTATTTTTTGACAAATTTGTTTAGAATGTGATTTTTTTACGTATCTTTATATTTTTCGATGTAGGGAATAAAAAACTCACATTTTTAGTGAATGTTATTCCGTTTGAGTGTTAACATTAATCTTTCATAAATATCTCAAATTCAAAAAGAGCTGTAGAGACGAATTTTTTTCTTAAAAAAATCTTACACATTGACATAAAGTAAAATTACATCTAACTAGATTATCAAATTATTTTTTGCATTCAAAAAATTTTAAAAATCTTTTTTTATCCATGACTTTGAAAAATTTATTAAAAAAATTTATCTATATTTTCTTTCATTTTGGAAAGTTTTTTTAAGTCTCATTGATTAAACTATTCCAAAGTGTTTATAGCATATGCAACCGCGTCTGAGAAAACGGTGCTTGCAGTCAAAGAAAAAGAATTTTTTTTTAATGTCGTTTTCTTAGAGTCTGAAAAATTCAATACTATCATTTTTAAGACAAAATTTTTTTGGTCGTAAGTACCGCTTTCTCAGATGCGGTCACATATACACACAATTCTTTCTTTATGAGATATCAATTTACTTCTTTTATATAGGAGGAACCTACTTCTTGTTCTATTTAATTATATTATATATAAATATTTAAAATATCATTCAATTATCAATTTATTTTCTTAAAAATATGGATTTTTTACAAATTATAATAAACAGTCCTAAATAGCACGAAATATTCTATTGGAATATTGGAGAACAATATAAAAATAATAATAATGATGATAAATAACTAAATAAATAAACAAAATAAATAATTTATTAACTTTTGACGAATTTAAAATAAATGGATTATAGAATTAATTTAATTAATTAAAAAATTAATTTAATTTTCTTATAATATTCCTTCGGATTGTTGCTGGAATAGGAATAAAACATGTTATTTGAGTTTTAATAAAATGGTTATATTCAATTTTTATAAAATTTATTAAAATTTTTACTTATTAAGTACCAAAAAAACTAATGTTTATCAAAACAAAATTTAATAAGTTCATATAATATAATATAAATTTAGATTTGGAACAAGTGGAAAAGCGACGTAAGAATAAAAATGAGGGATGAGAAAAAAAATCGTGATGCAACAGGAGGTGGATCCCCAATTGCAATAGATTATGGAGTTTTAGATGAGCAATTAATACTGCTTCTGTCAAAAGAGCAAAAGTACTGTTTAAACTAATATACATGGGTCATTCCATTACATTTCACCTAAAGTCGTTGCGGCCTAATGTTTAAAACAGCTGATACTTTCAGAAATAATTCTTTATGGTATTTAGGAAACAAAATAAAAAGAATTAATCATTAAAAAATAGATAATTAATCGATTCTTAACAAGAACAATAATTTTTTTACACTTTTAACAATTTTTCTATGTTTTTAAAAACAGTTTCTAAATGCTAAAAAGGTGACATTTTTCCGCACTTTGTCGACTTTAAATACATATTTTAAGATAAATAATAAAAATTTTAACTTAATTCTTTTTATTTCGTTTCCTAAATATCGTAAAGAATCATTTCTGAAAGTATCAGCTTTTTTAAAAATTAGTCCGCAACGACTTTAGGTGAAATGTAATGGAATGAACCACATATAATTTGCTATTACTATTATTATTAATTTAATTCTTTTATATAATTTATTATATATTAAATATTATATTTATGTTATATGTATATAATATGTAATATATGATTTAATAAATTAAAATTAATACTGTTATTAATATTGGCAGCGATTTAGTTCTTCCTCCCGCAAAAGAATGGGAACTAAAAGCGTTAAACCAATTGATGCCAAACAATAGCGCTATTATAGGTAAAAAGAGCAGTACGACAGTGGCAAAAAATCCGAGTGTAAGTCACGGTTTTAACATTAAAAATTGTGTTTTAAAATTTTTATAATTTTTCTAAAAAATAATTTTGTCAGTTAAATTAAAAATTGTATAGTTTTTATTCAATTTTCAAAAAGAAAAATTTGAATGATTACACTCATTTATTTAAAAATTAATTTTATGCAGACTGAAAGTTGTACTAAAGCAGATAAGATGGATCAAGAATTTAATACTTCGGAATCTGAAGGTATTATAATATTATATCCTCCACACTTGCTCTGAAAGTACTACTTTTCATGTTGAAAAAGTGCGACAAAAGATTCCCTTCTGATTTTGAAAACAGTGGTAAAAGTAAATTTATCGTGTGGAAAATATATTTTAGTGTGGCAAAAATGAATCTCATGACATCATTCACATTTTTGAGATCTTCTACTCATACATTTTGTGTAAAACAATAATAACACGTTTAATTAAAATTATAGAAAATATAGGAAAAAGACTTTCCTCGCAAGGCGTTGGGAAGGACATTATAAGCAACTCGTGGTAAAAAATGATTTC